TGGTGCTTTAGGAAATATATTTGTTTATACCAACTATACGCTCATTATTAAAATCCCTGAGAAATAATAAAGATGTTTTAAAACAACTTTGAAAGTGAGGTGAGTCTAAAGCCAAAGTTCTTACCTCTCACATGGTCTAAATTTTCTACTTAAAGAAAAAAATAACTCATTCTGTTTGTTTTAACAGAGTTCAGCAAACTCACCCAGGAACCCAATGGTTTCCCCAGATCTAGGCTACCCCTGCCTTTCATTTCCCAAAGTCCTTCTTGCTTAGTTAAAGAACTAAATGGGAAAAGAAAATTAGTGATCTATTTCTCCTAAAAGCAAAGCCACAAGTACGTGGGACTTGGCAATGAAACCATCCGAAGTTCCCTCATAAAAGAGACGCTGAAGAAACAGAAAGTACCGTTAACCTGTCTGGCGTTTGTACTTTTTTAGCAGAATATCCAAAATGCCTCCCTAGTTTTTAACTTGTACAAGAAAACCATTCGTTAAAAATGACTTTACTTTTAGAAACGCTTAAATCAAAAGGTCTGAGACACTGCTGGGGCGTCCTTTATTTTGTTTTTTCATTTCCCTGTATGGCGATGTCATTCTAAAGGGCAGTACTCAGACAGACACGCAAGGACATATCTGTCTGTGTATATATATACAGCTCGAAATCCTGTCCCTGAGGACAGGAGGCCAGCTGTGTGTGCACATCACTGACCTGAAGTCCCCTCTGTTGTTCACCACCCTCTCCGGGGGACAGTACTGCGCAGAGCTCTCTAACACCACAATGTCCACAGTCCTTGTATTGTTCCCACGTTTGGTCTGGACGTGACAGCCCCAATTTCCAGTAGATCCAGCCTGAATATTAGAAATGGTTAAGGCACTGCATGAGGAAAGATTTTAAAAAGAGGAAAAATATGATTAGGCAAAAAGAGAGACAGGGTGGGCTTCAAGCTTTCATTTAGCAAATGCGTCTGAATGCACACTGAGTGCCCAGCATTTGCTAGATAAGAAAAATAACACAACGACCCCCACTTTGCAGTCCTTGAGTAGAAAATCAAGACAAGTATGGAAAGGGATCCTCTCAAAAAATGACCAGAGTGACGAGAGAAGTATTAATAAATTGCAGTGGTCCATAATGCGTGCAAATTCTCCTTCTAGACACAGGGAGAGCAGAGCCCTGTAGGGCACAGGAATGGCCAGCCCAAAGGTAAAAACATCAGCAAAACTTGGAGAACCTTCCAAGTCACATCTACCTTTTCACAGATTCTGAGGAAAACATTCAAGCATGAAGAAAGGATAATACCATTACAAAGCATATAATTAAAAAAATATTTAATGTAAAATATTTTGTGGAAAGACGATCGTTTGTCATACCTCAAACAACCAGTTAAATCTATAAAAAAAGATTCAGTAAATTACCAGTCAATACTTTTACAAAAGGAAGTTTCCATGTAAAGGTATATTTCAATTTATAAAAAGGCTGTACTTCTAAATAGCTGTCAGTAAGTTCAATTTTCAAGATGAAATCATAATTCCTTAATATAACAACCTATTAATTAAGGAGCAAATACCAGAGCCTTCAATTAACCTTTATTCCCCCCACGTGACCCATTAGGCTTTGCTGTTAAGTAGACACAAATGATAAGAAATAATTAGACAAAAAGGATGTATCATTTTAATTAACTTATAAAATTATGTCATGAAGTTAACACACATTTGTCCAAGTCTTCTAAATCACTAACGGGTACAGAAAATGTTCTAATAAAGACTTGAGGCACTTTTATATTTTGAATCATTAAAGAAAATGTTTATTATCTTTACTAATTAGGTTGGAAAATTAAATCAATGCATTGTAATTAATATTTTCAAGAATGAGTGACACAAAAAACAGTTTGACTTTAAATAACCAGAAAGTTGTCAGTCTCCTTTATAAACTACTTACTGAACTATACAAACAATTTTGGTCACAAAAATCATTCCTGGGTGGTGCCTGTGGCTCAAAGGAGTAAGGCGCTGGCCCCACATGCTGGAGGTGGCAGGTTCAAATCCAGCCCCGGCCAGAAACCACAAAACAAAAAAATCATTCCTTAATTCAGAGGTTCACAAACTTTCTCAGTTCATTGGTCTTTTCACCTTTTCAAGGTTTCTTAGTCGAAAACAAACAAAAAAATATGGTGGTTCCCATTATCAAATTCCCAAACCGTGTCCCTATATCCTGATGTCTTAGGAGCCATTTGAAAAAATAACACACATATATTTTAAATAAAATTTTTACTGCATTCTTAAATTACCACACTACTTCCAAATGGGATATGTGTGCCTGCTGGGACACTTCAAAATTAATGCAAGTTCAGATTCAGATCAGATAATAACATTCACATCTTGTCTGACAAGGACTCACACACATAGTACTTGCTTTATAACAAGTTAACCGTCCAAAACCCAGCATCACAAAGGACAGCACCCACAAAGGAATCAAGTATGCACAATTTTCTCAGAAGATGAAACTGAAGCTACATCTTTCTCCTTAAATCTCAAAATCTGCATACCTTTTTCTTTTCTTTTAGCAACACTTTTCTTTTTTTGGAAGTGAATTAAGACTTCGATTACTATGACTTAACACTCTCAGCTATAAAGGAAAGATTATAAACGGCAGACACACACACTCCGGGATTCAAAGTCGAACACCTATGAACTGAGCATCCAAATACTTCATCTTCACAAGCTTTAGCATTTTCCCTCCCTTTAACTGAACATAACAAAAACTTAGCCCAGGTTTGCTTCTATGATTCAATAACACAGCACATTTAAAATAGTGTTCAATTAAGAAAGAGAAGTTAATATCCAGCTTCCCACTTTTTTTCTTTATTGTTGGGGGTTCACTGAAGGACAAAGAACTAGGTTATACTGCTTGCCTCTGTAAAGTCCCTCTTATAGTTGTGTCCTGCCCCCAAGAGGTGTGCCACTTTCAATATCTAATAGCAGTTACGGGAATAAATTTTTCCAGGAATTTTCAAGGCCACCAATTTGGACTCAAGGAAGGGATTCAACGTCTACAAGTAAAGATGTCAGCAAAAATGTACCTTGCAATTAAGGAGCAGTTGTGAATCATGTTCTTTTCCACAAAGATCCCTTGGGACTCATCAGTTTCAACTATTCGCCCATCCTGGTACCACAGCACTTGCATGTCCTGGTCGATGTAGGAGGCCATGCACTGGAAGGGAAGGCTGTCTCCTTCAAAGACGACCTGCCGGTGAGACGGGCTCATGTAGAAAGATGGCAGTTCCAGGGGAGGATCTAGAGACAGGGAAGCAGAGATTCAGTCCAGAGACCGTACATCTCCATGCCCCACAATGAAAAGGTACAGAAATTCGGGCGGCGTCT